TGTTATGGAATTTTACTTATTTTTTTTTTCAACAATGATACAACTTTACAAAGAAACACAAGACATGAGAGACAAAACTGGATCATTATTGTCTTACATGTGCTTATCCTGTTATATTTCAACAAAAACGAACATACAAAACAAATTTTCCTGCTAAACTTAATTAAAACACAAAAGTTCAAGTCAGCCACTCCAGAATTGTCAACAGTTTTCCATAATATAAAGAATAATATCATTTGTAGTGTTAACTCTGAACAATGAAACTCTTGATTTTGGATTTTGGCCAAGTGGACTAGCAAGACTTAATTCCCAAATTATGTAAATATAGAGCTTTAAATTGGACACAGAGCTAAATTATAACGGTAGGAATTTTAAACACATGAGTTTCCCTAATGTTCTGTTATACTAGGCCTCATAATGTGTCAACATGTTTGTACCTGGTAATGATTGGGGGTCATGGAAAAGAGCCTTGACTTATTCTACAACTATATACTGACTGGTTATACTGGCTGGCTCAGACATTACATAACCTCTTAATTCTTTCAATGTTTTTATCTTCACATTTCCTTTCAATAGCTTGACTAAGAGTTTCTTTCCTTAGTCTAGCCACTTCTGGTAGTCTTCCTATGACCATTTGACTGTTGTGTGATGTAGTGTATGTTGTGTGATGTAGTGTAGGCATATAGGTTGTGTTTGTGTGTTGTGTGGTGTGTTGTGTGTTGATATATGTTAGTTGTTGAAAACAACTGTAAAAATCTTATCCATTCCCACAGAAAGACTTTTTCCAATGAGCACTAAAAACAAAAAAGCAAAAAAGTCTGAGATATTAAAGGCTGGTTTTACAGGATACTCAATACATTGACATTATTATACAAAGCAAACAGACCAAACCCTGTTAGACAGGTTTTGATGAAGACTTGTATAGCATTAATGTCTTCTATTATATGTGCATTCAGTATTTTTCTGATTGATATGCAGTTTGTTTAAACAAACATATAATGATGTCTGAAAGGAGAGTGTGCATGGAAAATGCCACACCCACTATTGTGTACTTTTAACCTATGATATAAGAAATATGATAGAGTTAGGGAAAGTAGTATCTAACTGCAGATTGATTTTTCACCTCTTGGTGTCTAATTCTAAATTTATTTTGAAAGATTTATTTTCATTTGTGTGTCTTTTTTTATTACAAATTTTCAGTTATTAAGAAAATAAGTTGAAAGTTTGGACTTAGGAAGATTATCCCAATAGACTGACTTTTTGGCCTTTAATTCAAAATCACAGAGGTATTTAAGGGAACCAGACAGGTGTGGCACAAGTGAAAGTTGTTCATAATAACTGAATGGTTTATTTCTTAATGATACCCCCTCATATATACCCCCACCTCAGACCTAAATGAAGAAAGGAGGGAGAGTTTCCTGTTCCTAGATCAGTACAACAGGTGGAATTTTGTCCCTCAGGGAGACCATTACCGGAGAAATAAGTGATTTTAAAACCAGAAATAAGACATTATACCTCGGACTTGGTGTATTAACCTGTGTATAGTGCTTTGTGTTGGATCATTAACTCTTTCTGCAGTTACAAGTAAGTTATTTGTGTGGTCAGATGGTTGATTCATGGTAAAGTAATTTTGACATTTATACACAGTATAAGTGGTGATTTATCTTGTTCAATGTCAAAAATCTATCCCAAGCCAATGAACTAGTTACAGGGTACATTTTGGGGTCAATTTGAAAGTTTGGACTTGATAAGGGTTAAATGGTTAGACACACCTTGAGGCTGACTTGTTATTCACAAACTACCTGTAGTACAGACTTACCAGTATATGGTGACATATGCCTGCTCTCCTAAGTGGGAGTGAGAGAGATATCAGGTCTAAATTGTAGCTGCTGATCAATAAAGTTTTTATTAAATTCAGATTGAAAAAAACCCAATAAAGTTACCATACAAAGATTTACAGAGTTATCAAGGTCTTCAAAAATTATGACATTTTATGATAATGATTGCGCAATCCTTTACAGACTTTTGACATGTTTCTACATAGCAAGGGTGCTATTTTTGAACCATTCAAGACCAATGACCCAGATATTGAATCCAGCATGGGGCTGAGTGGTTAAGGCGGTCTTTATCACTAGCTCTCCAATTTTGGGTTGTGGGTTTGAGGCGACATGGGGCAGTTGCCAGGTACTGGCTGCAGGTCAGTGATTTTTCTCTGGAAACTCTGACATAATTTCCTATACCACCTAAACGTGGAACATCCTTATATGGCTTTGTCTGTTAATAGGATGTAGGAAGCAGCAATAAACTAAACTAATTGACTCCAGCAACTGACAGTCTCTCTGTCAAAGACTTGCTGACATTGCTTTTAATGATCTCAGTCTCATGATATTTAAAACTATGCCTTTCATTTCATCAGGGAAAAACTTATGCAAACACAGAGATGGTTTTTTTCTTGTTTGTAAAGGACTGTCATTCCCCATTAGGTCCTTCTGAGCACTTTGACAAGAGATGTATTGATTTTATGTAAATATGTACATTCCCATTACTTTAGCCATGAGGTTTACAGAAGTAGGAGATGCAGAAGATTGATAAATGAAGCATGAACAGAATTAATTCATTTTCTGTGGAAGTAGAGCATTTAAATTACCTTTAAGGGAATCGTATGACGTCAATACTGAATGGTATCGTGCGAAGACTGGTTGGAAGTTTTTAAACTGTCAGGATATGTTCACAAAAGTATTGTTTATGATTATGTCTGTTCAGACATGTTTATGTACATAGCATCACAGCAGTATTTAAGGTATAGTGAAGACATCAAGAAAATACCGAAGTAGAAGGGGAGGTGTGTCACAGTGACATGTGTCACAGCTCAAAAAATGTAATAATCATGGTAATTGCAGAGGAAAGGGGACCTGTCGAAGTGGCATGTGTCACAGTAAACACAGATGTAGCGTGGCATGTGTCTCAGCTTAAATCTATGATATTGTACAGAAGTAAAAAGGGGCTGTGACAGTAGCATGTGCCATTTAAGACAGATTCAAAGTAGAAGTTCAGAACTAGAGGTAGCTGTTTCATGGCTAAATGGGAAATAGACCTAACCATCATCTTATGATAGGGGGAAGCATAGGGAATGGAGTTCCTGAGGTTGCTAGGCATAGACAAACAACTTCTCAGGACTTCTCCTCAACAAGACAGTTCACTCTGAGAGGGGAAATAGTTTTGACTGTTTCACACGCACAAAAAGCCGTAAACAGTTAAAAATTACTATTATCATTTATAGAGAGTATTGGATAATAACATGTGTTTAAGCTTAAACAGACGTAGAGGAACAGAATGGGGTGGGGAAGCTCCCAGTGAAGAAGAAATGGGTCGGATGGGGCTGTCACAGTTAAAACGAAGTACTACTACAGGTAAAGTAGTAGAAGGGGAAGGGACATTTGTTACCACTTATCTAAAACAGATGTAGTACAGCAAAAGGTGTGGGTTGACACAGTGACATGTGTCTCAGCTTCAGCCATGTAGTAATCCAGGAACAGCAGTTGCAAGAGCATTCGTCAGTACTTATTTAGAGAAGGAGTTTATTGACACAGTGACATGTTTCTCAGCAAAACAAATGTAGTGATACAGAAGTAGAGGGGAAGGGGCTAAAAAAGTGACATGTGTTACAGCTAAGACAAATGTAGTGATACAGAAGTAGAGGGGGAGGGGCTAAAAAAGTGACATGTGTTACAGCTAAGACAAATGTAGTGATACAGAAGTAGAGGGGGAGGGGCTAAAAAAGTGACATGTGTTACAGCTAAGACAAATGTAGTGATACAGAAGTAGAGGGGGAGGGGCTAAAAAAGTGACATGTGTTACAGCTAAGACAAATGTAGTGATACAGAAGTAGAGGGGGAGGGGCTAAAAAAGTGACATGTGTTACAGCTAAGACAAATGTAGTGATACAGAAGTAGAGGGGGAGAGGCTAAAAAAGTGACATGTGTTACAGCTAAGACAAATGTAGTGATACAGTAGTATAGGGAAAGGGGCTAAAAAGGTGACCTGTTACAGCTAAGACAAATGTAGTGATACAGCAGTATAGGGGGAGGGGCTAAAAAAGTGACATGTGTTACAGCTAAGACAAATGTAGTGATACAGAAGTAGAGGGGGAGGGGCTAAAAAAGTGACATTTTTGTCCATTTATGATCCATACCTCGAGCTCTGTTTGCTCTAAATGTCAAGAAAAGAATACCAAACAATCAAATTGGCTGTAAAATCTTGGCATACCCTTTTTTAGAATAGGGAACCATATGTTACAGCAAAAACAGACGAAGTCGTACTATAGTAGAGGGAATGGGGTTACAAAAGTGACATGTGTTACAGCTAAAACAATCGTAGTTGTACCGCAGTAGAGGGAATGGGGTTACAAAAGTGACATGTGTTACAGCTAAAACAAATGTAGTGACACAGTTGTAGGGGAATTGGAGCCCTGTCACTTCAGATGACCTGTGTTATGGTGGAAACAGATGTAGTAGTAAGATAGCTAGTATACTCAGATAACATGGCCCATCTAGGTAATTGTGGTATTCATATATGTCCTCATGTGACAAATTTAATCGATGAAAGGATAAGAAGAATTGCATTCACCGAGACCTAAGTATTAGACATTTCGTGGATAAATATGGAAATTATGTATTGTAGCTCACAGGGGTGTCTTATTCAACTTCTATATGCTGTTATTTGCCAAATTTAACAATCATTATTTGATCAATAGAAATGTATTTATTACCAGATTGAGTTAGAAATATTCCTCTCTACTGATTTAGAAGATGAGAAAGGAAATCTATTATGATTAAAACTGCTGGGTAAAGTTTAGATTAATGAAGTCAACCTGAAATTTTTAACACATACATTTATATCTAGCTTCTTTGATAATAGAACAGAGGTTACAGGTGCAGGTGTGATTTAATCTTCTTAAGCAAGTATATATTCTTATCTGGTTTATTCTGAATTCTTTTCAGGCAATAAATCAAAATGGAACCTAAGAGTCGACCACGATTAGATGGAGTGTTCCCTGAAATGAATGGAGATAAAGACGATGATGCACCATTATCACCTGTGCGAAAACAAATTGAACATTTTGAGAAAAGGGGTGGAAAGGGTCCAGCCCCTCTTCCTCAAGGAGGATTCCACCTCCCCAAAATTGGAAATTACAAACCCAAGTCTCTGTTGACATCTGAGCCACGCTCACCAAAACAAAATCAGAACTCAAGACTTTCAGATGATTTCAAATTTGAGCCAATTCAATTTGTTTTACATGAAAAGGATGACCCACCACCTCAGTCAAAAAACTTTATCCTCATGGGAGATAATCAGCAGTTAATGACGATTCATAATGGTGAGAGTGAAGGTCAAAATGAGGAGGATTCTGGGAGAGCATCACCCGATAAACCAGCCTTTACGGAAAATCCTCTCTTTGAAAAAGACTCACCAGAATCACCACTATTGGAAAGATTCCAAGAGGATGAGAGTGGTGTCTATCACCAACTTCACGATAATCAAGGTTTTGTAGATTCTGCACCTTCTGATGATACACCACATTTTGACAACGATGTCCGAGAGTTTGAGGATGTTCCTCCAGCAGATTATCCTTTAGAAGAGGAGGAGGAAGATAGACCTAAACCTCCTCCCCGAAAAAAGAAGGGTAAAAAAGAAGAAAATGGTGAGAATTCTCCATTCATTCCTGCTCCAGATTATGATGAGGGATCAACACGAAAGTTTAACGGTGGCCCAACAAATACTCCAAGGCATGAACCGATATTTGAGGAATTTGGAGGGGAAGATTATTCAAAATATTTGAGTGATGAAGAAGACTATGAATTTGACACATCACTCACCTGGCGAAAAGAAATGAAACATAAACGTTACAAAACCAAAAATAACAATCCTGGTACAGCTCAACGTTCAAAAGCCAAACATTTACCGCAAATGAGGAAACCACAAGATGGTCCAAAACCTCAGCAGGAAATCCGACCCATCGGTACAAAGTCCCGACGTCAACATGAAACAGCACATGAGAGTATGAGACGGAACACTATAAGAGACTTCACTTTCGATCATTCCAAAATGGGAAATGGAACAGTTCGTAGCACTGTTAGTACATCGGCAAAAGGACGTTATATGAAACGTAACAAAGAACGTGGGAGAATTGTGGAAAGTGAAGAAGGGACATATGAAGATTTCTTGCGCAATCGTCACAATGAAAATGGAAGCAACAGCAGCAATGACAGTGGCATTGTTCCAGGAGAGGAAATCAAGTATAACAATCCTGTTTTTATGTACAGTCAGCCAAAATTGAAGGATGGAAAGTCTTCATTATGGAAGAAACTTACATGGAAATTCAGAAGAAATACTTCTGGATACCAAATGGCATAAAGAAAATTATTGGTGATGTTGATGTACAGCACTGAATTGTTCTAACATCAATGTGTTTGCAAATAAACAGTGTTCAGAACAAATTGAAAATCAGCATGATAACTTATCATTGATGATCATCATTGCCAAAATTGCAAACTGGCAAGTGCTTTTTACAGGAAGTAGAATTCTTGTTCATCCAATTAGATGTAACTATGTGCACATTTATTTACAGTTACTATTGTGATCTGTGTCATAAAGGTTATTTGGTTCTATTGACTTTTCCCCAAGGATATTTGCTCTGGAATCTGCCTGATTAAAGTGTGTGAATTATCATTTAAATTAATATTGATTGTCTACACACACTATTTACAGTGTCATTGCTATGAATAATGTTTATATAAATTCATGTGAATATACTGTTGGAAATATTACAAAGATATTCGTTTCCGAACATGGAATACTTTTATATGTTAAAGTATAGACGACACTGATGTAGTAAGATGTTTTCTTACATGTCATGAAGCACCTACCTGTTGTATGGTAGAAATATTTGCTGGCTAGGAGAGCTCTTTCATTGTTTGTAGTACCTAAAAACTATACAGAGATGTTTGGAAGTAGTGGCTAGCTAAGTAGGACATCTGGTGGTGTCTAACACAGGGACCTGGTCTGTACTCAATGGAAAGTCATTCATTTTCTTGGGAGTTTAATTTTAGTTGATTTTGTAGTTTCTCCATTCCATGAATTCATATGTCCACTAAATGATTAAAGACAAAATTGACATGAATTCTGGTATATTATGTACTTAAGCTGCATTTCGTGAGTAAGATTTAACAATTCCCACCCCCTTCCCAGCTTTTGATTTTAAAATCACAAAATTTTAGCCCAATGAAAATAAATGATTTCACAGTGGTACAGGGATACAGGCTGTGGGGTTTTGATGATTCCTTGTGAGTACTAGGTATTACATTCTGTTTTTACATTTGTCTTCTAATCACATTCAACACATACTTTTAAAGTAAAACCTTTGCAGTGGCATCGCCCACAGATCGTGAACATGTAGTTCTTTGAAATGAGGTCATAGGTGACTATCACTTCTAGGTCAAAGGTCAAATAAGTGCAAAGTCATGTTGGCGTACACTGTCTGGTTGATGTCGAAAGACTACAAACTAGATACATACCTTTATTATTGTGTAAGATGCATACAGATAGATCTATGATGTCAGTGAAATAGACATGATTTTATTTATTATAAGAAGTAACATACAAATACCTACAGATATTGTGTAATATTGTCTTCCTACAGTAAGAAATTTTCTCTGGGATTTTGTTGTATTACAAGATATAAAGAGTCAGAAATAATCCAAGTACTTATGGATTCATTGGAAATATCTCAGAATATCTGTACCATGGGCCCTTTATTATTAACCCTTTTCGGCGCCAATTATCTCTTACAATGTACAGCTCAGCGCCAAATATTTTTCAGAAAATACCCGAAAACAATGGCAGCATTACTGAACAAGCATATCTTGGCTAATAATAAAGATATTAACTTTGTCGACCAAAGTCGCCAACGGCAGCCTGTCTGCATGTCGACTGTAGTCGCCTATGGCGCTGAAAGGGTTAAAACAGGCACAAATGTTTTTTATACAAATTCAAGATTTTAACACATTAGCTTTTCCAAAGACATGAAACCACAGATCCTTGAAGTAATTGGGCTTTCCCTCATATTCCACATTCTCAAACCTGAGAATTTGTTTCCCTAGGGGAGTGTTCAGAGAATTGGTTCAGTAAGTAATAGAGACGTGTACCAATATTTCATCAAAATACAAGTAAATGGTGAAAATCAGAACTATTATTGTCCATAATGGCCATGTGTTTGATACTATCTTGGTGATTCATTGTAGAGGATAAAAAAATTAACATTCCCCACGAAATTGACAAATATGATTGTTTCATCATATGCAAATGTACATCTAACATTATGCCTTCGAAACAAATGAATTTGTCATGAAAGGAATAAATGTTCACAAAACATTGTATATGGCCTGCATTTGTCAAGTTTCGTAATATTTCGGTGTTCAAATCGCAGGCCAACATCATAATTACAATGTTTTCGTCAAACCAAGAAATACATAATTCAGTTTGACATTAATCAAAACTATGTGTCATATTTTGTTTGTAACAAAGCATATTCAAGGATAATCACATCATGATATGAAACAGCAACATTTTTTTTCAGCAATTTGAAAGCTAAAAAGGATGAATGGTATAGATTTTGTTTGCTGCTCTAGTGTAAGGTATTTCTGATGTAAGTTTACCATACTTTCATGCTGTCTGTAAATAAATGCCATAATACAAATTTCCAAATGTAGTGTAATCTAAAGATTTACTTTTTTAGTTTCATTTAGGCATGTACTGCTAGTTAATTCAGACGTTAGGAAAGATAAGTTTTCCAATTTGGAAGTCCTGTGTATATTTAGGTTTTTTTTGTTTTGTTTGTGAAGGTGTAACTGTTACAATTGTAATCCATGTGCAATATACATTGTATACAAGATATACAGAATATGTAAATAAAAATATTTGAAAATATTTATGTACTATAAATATATTCGTCCAATTGTGATACACCAGATAATGTAGAATAATGTATAAAGCAGTATATTGAATGACTAATTATTTGTTTGTAACAATCAAAGCACATTTTTTTTTAAAGAGACCCTTAAACATCAAATTATCTTTTGTCATATACATGTATATGCTATATAAGTAAGAAATGAGTTTGTTTCCCTGAGTGATTATTTGCTCCACTAGCTTGTTCTACTGATTCTATACAAGTATTTATGGAGATAAAAGTAGAAGAAATGTATAAAGGAACTGAAGCAATTTGATAGAAATTATCTGAAGAAATATTGATAAGCAATAAATTTAGGATAATTTTTTTGGATATTCATGGCTGAAAACAGCACCATGAGTAAAGTGATGCTGGTTGACTTGTATTGATGTTATTTTACATACTGTACATAGGAAAGTATAATCTGTTTGGTGTTAAAGGGTGTCTTGTTTTTACCATCTTATATTTGTGTGTTATCATTTTTATGAAATACTCCTTGTTTAACAGCACCTGTCTGATTCAGCATCGCTATGATGTAGTCATACCTGGGAGATGGCCGTTTGGAACAGATTGTAATTCCGAGTACATGTATTAAGTATGATAAAATAACTTTTTACAGGTTAAGAAGTTAAGAGAATTAAGACAATGGAGTTAGGTAAGCTGTAGCTGATCTATTTTACTGCTGTAATAAATGGGAGTATAACTTTTATTTAAGTGCACTATGTTAGAATTTTTGTCTAATTCTTTTGAAACTAAGACTGTTTTCCTTGTAGTATCATTTTATCTTTTTTTCACAATCCACCTGTAGATAAAATTGAATAGATCTTAAAGAACAGAAAGCACATTAAGTTTTTATTTTTGAATACTAAGGCTTATAAAAAGTGATTGAAAATCAAATTTGAATCAGCATTTGTCTTTCCAAAACTTATGTCAGTATTTCTATGCAATATTAGGTTTTTTGAAGGGGAAAATTGCAGCATCGTTTCAAGTTACTTGCATAATAATAGATAAAAGCAAAATCAAAGTATCACTGATAACAGATCTATAATATAGGTAACCTGTAGGATGTTACTTGTAAGGTAACCTGTAGGATGTTACTTGTAAGGTTACCTGTAGGATGTTACTTGTAAGGTTACCTATATGATGTTACTTGTAAGGTTACCTGTAGAATGTTACTTGTAAGGTTACCTACAGGATGTTACTTGTAAGGTTACCTGTAGGATGTTAATTGTAAGGTTACCTGTAGGATGTTACTTGTAAGGTTACCTGTAGGATGTTACTTGTAAGGTTACCTGTAGGATGTTACTTGTAAGGTTACCTGTAGGATGTTACTTGTAAGGTTACCTGTAGGATGTTACTTGTAAGGTTACCTGTAGGATGTTACTTGTAAGGTTACCTGTAGGATGTTACTTGTAAGGTTACCTGTAGGATGTTACTTGTAAGGTTACCTGTAGGATGTTACTTGTAAGGTTACCTGTAGGATGTTACTTGTAAGGTTACCTGTATGATGTTACTTGTAAGGTAACCTGTAGGATGTTACTTGTAAGGTTACCTGTAGGATGTTAATTGTAAGGTTACCTATATGATGTTACTTGTAAGGTTACCTGTAGGATGTTACTTGTAAGGTTACCTGTAGGATGTTACTTGTAAGGTTACCTGTAGGATGTTACTTGTAAGGTTACCTGTAGGATGTTACTTGTAAGGTTACCTGTAGGATGTTACATGTAGGTTTACCTATAGAATGCTACCTGTCAGGTTACCTGTAGGATGTTACATGTAGGTTTATCTGTAGGATGCTACCTGTTGGGTTACCTATAGAATATTACCTGTCAGGTTACCTGTGGAGTGTTCCCTGTCAGGTTACCTGTAGGATGTTACATGTAGAATAACCAAAAAGATGTTACATATAGAATGCAACCTTTCAGGCTACCCTCTATGATGTGGCCATTTTGATGTTACTTGTTAAGTTACCTATAGGATGTTACCTGTAGGATTTTATGTTACTTGTAGGATGTAACCTATAGGGCTATCTGTAAGATGTTAGCTGTAGGATGTCAACATGCTGTTGTCCAGGGTTTGTGTGTGTAATGAAATGGTTGTATGATATAGCCTCAGGTGATTGACAGCTGATAAAAGTAATTATGTAACTTGTAAGTAAAGTTAAGATTGTTATTTTCATACAAATTAAAACAATTATTAAGTAAGACATTGTGAGTTTTTGTTTTGCTTCATTTCAAACTCATTGACAGTTACACACAGCAGCCTTTCTTTGAATGTTTTCAATTCACTTCTACCAAGCTGTACGAATTGCCATTGTTTTCAGCACAGTCAGGAAGTATTCCCACAGCCTTTGGGATAAAAATTCATCTTAGACAAGATGTTTCTATGTAGTTCATTTCTATCAAAA